TTTCGAGAAAATCGCACAACAAAGACAAATACAAAATAATGAGTATTCCCACTTCACCAAAACGGACGTTCCAGCGCCATGCTATTCCGAGATTGGAGCATTCCAGGAATAATGTTGATCTTGGAACCGGAATACACGTCTCCTTGCTATCAGAGGGACTTGTACTCAAGAAGCGACAAGGCTAACAGGAATCGGGAATGGGAACAATACAGGAACTGATTGGCGCCGCAGGAATCGTGATCGAACGGTGATATCGTTCCATGGGAAAAAATCCTTTATTCTCTCGTAGTCTTTTACATTGGTCTTTTATCTCTCGTAGTCTTTAATATTATTTCTTTATCTCTTGTAGTCTTTAACATTATTTCTTTATCTATCGTAGTCTTTTATCTCTTGGATTCTTTTACATTATTATTTTTTATCTCTCGTAGTCTTTAACATTAGTTCTTTATCTCTCGTAGTCTTTTATATGAGTCTTTTATCTCTTGGAGTCTTTTACATTATCTTTTATCTCTCGTAGTCTTTTACATTAGTCTTTTATATTATTTTATTGTGTGATGTGATTCCTATTATCTTCGTTTTGTGGTTATTGGTGTTTTTGTTGTCACTCATCTTTTGTTATTGCTTATGATGATTATAATAGTAATAACAAAAATAGTTAAATAACGATATTCACGATATTATTATAAAAAAGGTACTAATCGTGATAATAATAATGATAACAATTATAACAATAATAGTGATATCAATGATGTTGATAATGAATAATAATAATAATAATAATAATAATAATAATAATAATAATAATTATTATTATTATTATTATTATTTGTTATTATTATTATTATTATTATTATTATTATTATTGTTATTATTATCATTATTATTATTATTACTATTATTATCATCATTATCATCATCATAATGGCAACAATAATTTTCATCATCATCATCATCATCATCATTATGATTATTACCAATATCACCACTATAATCATCAACACTATCTTCACTATCATTGCGTAAGTCATCATTCCTACTAACATCACTGTTATCATCATTACGACTCTCATCAACAGTCTGATGATATGTCCTTGAACTGCAATCCATACATGTCACTTTTCCCCATAATTAGTGGGATTTTGTGATAAAGGATGGGAGGAAGGGAGGGGAGAACATTGAGAGGTAAAAAAGGAAAATAGAGGAATGGGATAACAGAAGAGGGGCATGAGAAATGGGAGATAAGGAGAGACGAAAAAAAGAGAAAGAACATATTGTGTGATGTATATTTGGAGTGTAAAAAGAGCTGTACTGATAGATATGGAAAGATAGATAAGTGGTTATAGACAGACAGATAGATGGGTAGATAGATATAGACAGATGAGTAGTTAGGTAGATACAGACAGATAGGTAAGTGGATGTGGATAGATAAATAGGTAGGTAGGTAGGTAAGCAGGTAGATAAATAGACAGAGAGACGAATAAATGGACAGATAGATAGATAGAGAGAGAGAAGAGGGGGCATACTAAAGTCGAGAAATAAAATAGAATACCACAAAATTTCAGTGAAAAAGAAAAAAAAATCACCTCGTACACATAAAGAAAAAGCTGAGAATACTTTTACTACCCCCCCCCCCCCACACACACACACTCTCACCCCGCCCTCTTATAGACCAAAAAACTTAGTAAGCTTACCGCTGACCGAAAAGGTCAAATAGTCACTGGTTTACCTTTGATAATTTACTATAAGCTATCTCTCCCCAAATGACTTCTATGTGAGTAACAAAATGCCTATTTTTAGCTTTGCATAGAGTGGCATTTTTTCAGTAACATCAAACTAAGATATAAACTAAATAAACGAGTATTGTTCTTAGTAAGTAATCTTACCGTTGGATAGGAAACCCTTTATTTCGCCTGTGTTTGTAACTAGGAGATGAATTAATAGCACATAAACAGGCTTACTGATTAAATAGATTTAACAGAAAGGGTACCAGAACATAAGAAACACGAATGGGACACCACTATGGAACCTCAGATGTTACCCCTGACTGTAATTAATGGAAAGTTACGTAGGAACACTCTTAGTTAGGATCTAAACTTACCGTTAACAGAATAGACCGAAGAACATCTCATAAACCTTCACTCCTACATTGACTATAAGGCCTTAATGTCACCTCTGCCTGCGATTAGTTTATATAAACCAACCTGAACCATAAAAAATACCCTTAACAGAAACAAAAAAAAACAATAAACGGAAAGCTTACCGTTTAACAAAAACTAAAACCATAATAAACAATAAGCCTACCGTTAACAGAAAACAACAACTACAGTAAGAAAAAAAAAGAGAAAAAAAAATCACTCACAGAAACAGCACAAAGGCTAAACAAGCTTCCCGTTAACAGAAACGACCAAAGCCTCTAGCACTCACCTATGAGATCCCACTCCCCGTTGGCTATGTACCCGCTGATGTCGCCGCCGTCTGGACTCTGCAGCTGGAGGTCAATCTGTTGCAAAAAGGAAAGACATTCTTTGCTATAAATATCATTCTGGAGATGGAGGAGACGTTATTTGAAGGAGGGACGGTAGAGATATGAGGTGAGAGAGAGAGAGAGAGAGAGAGAGAGAGAGAGAGAGAGAGAGAGAGAGAGATGTAGAGAGAGGGGGAACCAGGTGGAGGGGTGAGGGAAGGATTGTAAATTCTTTTGATTTTTTTTTCCCTTTGCGACTCTGCGTTTTGCTTTCAGTTTCCCCTCTGATTTTTTTTTTTCTGATTTTTTTTTTTTTTTACTCTCCTTTTATTTCTCACGAGACCCCCCTTTTTCTCGTTCTCTCCTCTTCCTTTCCCCTTCTTTCTATTTCCTGTCCCATCTCCCTCTTTCCATCTCTCTTCTCCCCTTCCCACCCCCCTCTCTCTCTTCCTTTCATCACCACCTCCTTTTCCCTTCCCATTCTTTCTTCTCTCTCCGCCCTTTCTCTGTTCTTCCCCTACCCATACCCCCTTCCTCCCCTTTCCCAATTCCCTCCACCTTCTCTCTCCTTCCTTCTTCCTCTTTCTTTCCCCTTTTTAATCCCTTCTCCCATCACTCATCTTTACCTGTTCACCTTTTCCCATCCCCTCCTTCTCCCGTTTTCCAATTTTATAATCCTCCAATTTCCTCTCTTCTCCTTCTTCCTTCCCCTTTTTATCCCTTCTCCCATCCCCTCTTTCTCCTCCTCCTTCTTCTCATCTCCCCTCTCCTTCCCTCCCCCTCCTCCTCCCACTTTAACCAGCTCGTGTTAATCTTCCTGAGTGTTCACGTACATTGTTAGGGTAAGACGTACACTTTTATGCTCCTCAACAAAATCCAGTGTTGTGCAGGTTGCTCTTCTCTCTTTCTCTTCCCTCTCTCTTCTCTTTCTCTCCTTTTCTCTCTCGCTCTTTCTTTCTTTATCCCTTTGATTGTTATTTTTTTTCTCTGTCCTTTCGTCTTGGATCTCTCTCTTTCTCTTATAAAAAGGCATCTGGTATTCATGTACAAGTATACGTGACTCAGCTACGCCAGTGTGTAAAACTGTTGTTTTGATTTCAGCTATCAGAAAATAAGTGGTTATATATATATATATGTATATATATATATATATATATATATATATATATATATATATATATATATATATATATATATATATATATATATATGTGTGTGTGTGTGTGTGTGTGTGTGTGTGTGTGTGTGTGTGTGTGTGTGTATGTGCTGAAAATGAGAACAATTTAGGAATTCACCTGTTGTCTCATTTTCAATAAATCTATATATATATATATATATATTTTTTTACATTGTGGGTTTTTCTACCATAGTATCAACACGGTAGAGTGTTTTCATCATTCATGTATATATATATATATATATATATATATATATATATATATATATATATATATATATATATATATATATGCATGTGTGTGTGTATATATATATATATATATATATATATATATATATATATATATATATAGAGAGAGAGAGAGAGAGAGAGAGAGAGAGAGAGAGAGAGAGAGAGAGAGAGAGAGAGAGAGAGAGAGAGAGAGAGAGAGAGAGAGACTTATCATGACACCAATAACAATATTCCTAACCAAAACATATATATCCCATACATACAAACCATCACTACGACCCAGATTCCTAACATCTCACACAATCAAATCAAATCACACATATCCACGTATCGGCAAGAAAAAGAAAAAGAAAAAGAAGCTTAATCAGAGAAATCAATGGATGTGACCGAGAGCAAGAGGAAAGATCAATTGCTAGTCTCCTTTTATACTCACTCATTTAGGCCTAATCAGCTCGCGATCATGTGAACCCGAATACATTTTTGATATCCAGTTTGTGCGGGGCGCGGATGTGCACGGGTGTCGATGCGAAGAGAGGAGTAAGCAAGGAGGACAGGGAAGAGGAGAGGAGAGAAGACGAGAGAGAGCGGGAGAAGGAGGGAGAGAGGGTGAGAAGGTGAGACTAGGAGAGAGACCGGGAGGAAGAGGGAGAAAGGGAGAGAAGGTGAGATGAGGAGAGAGAGCGGGAGAAGGAGGGAGAGAGGTAGAGAGGGTGAGGCGGGGGAGAGGGAGGGGGAAGGAAAGGAGGGAGAGAGGGATAGAGGGTGAGAAGGTGAGAGGGAGGGGGAAGGGAAGGGATGAGGGAGGAGAGAGGGATAGGGAAGGGAGGGAAGAGAGGAAGAAGGGAGGGAAAGGAAAAGAAAGGGGAAGGGAGTGAAGAGAGAGAGTGAGAAGGACGGGAGGGGAGAGATGTATAGAGAAAAGAAGGATAGGGGATATGTAGATTGAGAGAGAGAGAGATCAGCGAAAATAAGAGAGAGACAGAGAGAAAGAGAGAGACAGAAACAGACAGACAGGTAGACAGAGAAGGAGATCAGCGAAAAAGAGAGAGAAATGAAAAAGGGAAAGAGAGAGGAGAGAAAGGGAAAGGGAATAGTGAAGGAAGTAAATAAAATAAATAGTGGTAAAAGGACATACTAATGAAAAAGAAAATACACGATCAACAAGGAGAGACAAGAAGAGACGAAGGAAAACAAGAAGAAGGAGAAAGGGAAAAAGAAAAAAAAAAAAATAAGATGACTTCCTTTCATAACATCATGAGCAGAATTTTTGAAAGTGAATCTCATATCTTTCCTTTATTTTTATCTTTCTCTTCTCCTTTTGTAGCTTTTCCATTCCAACTTGCATTCACCCTTGTCACGTTGCAGCCTGAGTTTCCACCTTCCTTTCGCATTCTTTCGTTCTTTCGGAAACACAAATACAAGCAAATTTAAGTCTATATATTTTGTATAGTTTTCTTGTTCTCTTTCCTTCCGTCTGTATGTTAATTCGTGACTTTGTCCATCCCGCTTTTTCTCTTTCTCTCTTTGACTCTATTTTTTCTATCTATCTCTATCTCTATCCCTCCTCTATCTCTCTCTCTCTCTGCCTCTCTCTCTCCTTCCTTATCTATTCATCTCCATATCTAATAATGCTTTTACGTCCTCTCCCCCTCCCTCCCCCCTTCCTCTCTCAAAATCTTTCATTTTTTCCGTTTTATATTTCAAATCTAATTCCTTTTCCTTCCTTCATTCCATCTACTCGTTCGTTTTAGCTTTGTTCTTTCTTCTTTTGATTTTCTTTCTTCGGCTCTCTCTCTCGCGTGTCACATTAATTGCTTCTTTATCGCTTTTGTCTATTCTTCCTTTTCTTTCGGTTTTCAGAGTCATTCGTTTCGTGTATTTTATTTTTATTTTTTTCTCGCTGTATCCTTCCTCTCTCTCTCTCTCTCTCTCTCTCTCTCTCTCTCTCTCTCTCTCTCTCTCTCTCTCTCTCTCTCTCTCTCTCTCTCTCTCGCTCTCTCTCTTTCTCTCTGTCTATATGTCTGTCTGTCTGTGTAACCCCCCCCTCTCTCTCTCTTTCTCTGTTTCTCTCTTTTTCTCTCTCCTCTTTTCTCCCTCCCTCCCTCCCTCTCTCTCTCTCTCTCTCTCTCTCTCTCTCTCTCTCTCTCTCTCTCTCTCTCTTTCTCTGTTTCTCCATCTTTCTGTGTGTGTAACTCTGTCTTTCTCTGCCTCTCTGCCCCCCCCCCTTTCTCTCTTTCTCTCTTCTCATCTCCTCTTGTCTTACCTTTCGTTCCCCTATTCCCGACTAGTGTTTCTCCCTCCCTTCCTCAATTCCCTGTTTCTTATTAAATGAATTTTTATTTCGTCTTGCCCTTCTTCCCTTTCAAACAAAACATCAAGTATCACATCTTATCATTCTCCTTTTCTTTCGCTCTTCTCCAAAATTATCGTTCATTGCTTCTCACTCCCTCATTCGTCACCTGCTGAGGACATCGTGTTACTTATTGCCTCTTCACATGTTTCTCGTGTTCACTTTTCTTCGTCCTTTTCTTAATTATGTTTGTCCCTTGTCAATTAAACTCTCACGTTCTTCATCTCCTTTATTTACCTTTTCTCTTAATCCTTTTGTTAGTGTCCACGTCTCCCATTGTTTTCTATTTGATTGTCTTCTTGTCAGATCCTTAAGTTTTCTTTTCTAGAATTTACGAATGTATAAGTATATATATGTATATATGTATATATATATGTATATATGTGTGTGTGCATTTATATATATATATATATATATATATATATATATATATATATATATATATATATATATATATATATATATACATATATATATATATATATACATATATATATATATATATATATATATATATATATATATATATATATATATATATATATATAGATAGATAGATAGATAGATAGATAGATAGATAGATAGATAGATAGATATATAGATATATATATATACATGTATTATTATCATTATCATTACTATTATCATTATTATTATTATTATTATTATCATTATTATCATTACGATAACCATAGTAATGATAATAATAATAATTATTATTATTATAGTAATGATGATAACAATAATAACAACAATAATCATAATATTAATAATGATAATGATAATTATTAATATTGTTATTATTATTGTTGTTATTAGTATTATAAATATTATTATTATTACCATTGTTATTATTATTATTTTTTTATTATTATCATTGTTATTGTACTTATCATTATCATTATTATTGTTATTATTACTACTACTACTACTATTATTATTATTATCATCATTATCATCATTATTTTTTTTGTTGAGAATTTCATTGATATTTGTTACTATTCACAATGATGAGTAATGCTATGAGAATAATGACGACAGTGATAAGCTTTATTATTGCAATGATTTATTTTATCATTGTTGTTGTTATCATTATTATTATCATTATTATTATTGTAAATATTATTCTTATTATCCTTATTAATATTATTATTATGATGATCATAAGGATGATGATCATTATTATTACTATTATTATCATTATTATTATTATTATTATTATTATTATTATAATTATTATTATTATTATTAGTATTATTATTATTATCATTGTTA